CTAGACCTAAATGATTAGGCTGTACTAAATTTCGTGCAAATCGAAAGTTATATAGGGACTGTTTACATTAAATCGGTTAAATATATATATGGGAGCTATATCTAAATCTGAACCGATTTTTCCCAATTTCAATAGGGTTCGTCCTTGGGCCAAATAAGTGACCTATGCCAAATTTCATCCAATTCGGATCATAAATGCGACCTGTACATTGTTTACAATTTAACATGGACAGACGGACGGACGGACGGACGGACGGACGGACGGACAGACGGACATGCGTAAATCGACTCAGAAAGTGATTCTATGCATATTCTCAAAAGGAACCATGGGTCTATCTCGATTATTTTTGCCTGTTACAAACATATGCACAAAGACATAATACCCTGTACCACAGTGTGGTGAAGGGTATAAAAACAAAATTGATATACACTCCATACTATGGTGGAGGGTATAAAAATCCTTGAAGTAATAGCCAAATGTGCAAAAAAATGCAATGCTCTGACTTAAATTTGATTGCAACAGGCACACGGACAGACAAACGGACTTGGCTTAATCTAAATAGGATTTTATTCTGATAAAAAATATAGTTTATGGTGTCTCCGAGGAATATTTTGAGGTCTTACAAAGGGAATACAAAATTTAATATATACTCAATTTCATAGTGGAGGGTATAAACACAAAGCTATTCCATTCTCACTCATACTTCAGTTATTGGCCAATTTTTCGACTTTACGCTGTTTTGTTCAAAATTTTGAATATATTAGTTATTATTTAAAAACAACACTCACGTATATCAAAAACTTTGTATTTTTTCAAGCCATCAACAGCATTATAATTTATGTTTGCATACATTTACTGACTTCAAGTTCATTATTAATTCGTATAACATAATCAAATCTATTTTATACGAACAAAATGTAATTGTAAATATGTTATATTATTGATATGATAGTAATTATTGTTGCACAGGGTGTATCAAAAATAGGCATGTTTTAATAAAACAGATATATTGTATATGTAGCCTTAATAATCCTTTTTTTTAACAGTGCAAAGGAAAGTATATCCTTCTCAAGCATAATAAAGAAACTAAAGGATATGCGGCTGCTAGAGTAGCGGATGTTTCGCACAGACTCTGTCTCCAAATTTTACATTAATTATGAAACTAACTCCTATAATTCCAGCAGTCAGTTTTATCCCTTCCTTACCGATATATAACAGTAATAAATTTCCGACCATCCAAATACCACCGTCCTCAAAACACCTCTGTGTGCCTGTCACCGTCAATTCCAAGTCTTATGGTCATATGATAACCAACATGTCGCTTGCTATTGAAGAATGTGGTTACACAAATCCATGAATAGATTGTCGCAGGGACGGACTCAAAAGATGTTTTCAGATCAAATGACTGATTCAAACCTATTTCTTATTATGCTCCACTTTTGCTCTCCAAACATTGATTTTTAATCTTGTAATTCAGTCAATCTACTATTCTGATTTCCATTAATTATAGCTCACCCTCTAACTAACCACCAATTATGCCCTCGTACAAAATGAATTTTGTGTTATGACAATTAGTTGTTTCCACCATACATAGCTATTAGCCAATAATATAATTATTGTTATTATTAAGGTAAATGAAAACAAGTTTTGTTTTCCAAACTAAATTCGTAAGCCACAAAATCTGGCAAATTATATTTCGCACCAAATTTAATTATAATTATTCTGCAAATCCGCCTACAGTCGCTAAATGGTATTTAATTACATTTCGCATATACACACATGCATACAATAAACCTATGTATATTTGAAAATAATTAAATTTATCGATGATCTGGATGTTCGTACCTATATTATGCAGCGGACTGACATCTAGGGTGCCTTCGAATTTATGTGCGCTTTGGCGGTTTACGTTTATTTACAATCAATTATTTATACGATTATTATAATACAATGTTAATTACACATTTGGCATACCACGCACACACACAAGCAAATACATTCATAAGTATTTAAAAGTGCAGTGCGTTATATAATTTATATTTTATGATTATCCTATGGCAGACTCAGCGTATCAGTATATAAAATTAATTTAATTTTTGTTTTAGGGGAAACCGTAGTATAATTAAATAACTAGCATTTTTAATTGAATCGATTATTTTTTGTGATTACAAAGTAAACAATTCTTGTAATATTATTGCAGATTCTATGACAATATCTGGAGCACAAACTGATATCAAACACTAACTATTTTTTTCTAATAAATTCATCCTATATTACCAAAACGATGCCTGATTCGAGATATTTACGCTTTTCAAGACCTTCGGGGAACCATCCTATTCGCTGCAATTTTGCATTAAAACACATTTTTAAGGAGCCTGCAAAAGTGGGACTGGCAGTAAACGGCGAAAAGACCAAGCCGATGGTATCGACGCACAAGACCAAGCTGATGGTATCGACGTAGACTCGGATCAACTGTGGAACCTGAAAACAGCAGCTTCCAGGTACTGAACGATTTTATATACCTCTGTACGGCCATAAATAAAACTAATAGCATCAGCTTTGAAATCCGGAGGAGAATAGTTTTGGCCAACAGATGCTACTATGGTCTGAATAAGCAACTCAAAAGCAAGGCCACGAATCCGAATATCGAGTAGAATACAACATACCGGAACATGATCTTTCAAATTAAATAAGATGCCCACAAGACCGACGCACTTGAAAATCTTTTTTAAGCTGGGCTTATGTAAAACCGTTCTGTCACAAGCCAGCTATGTAATATGTCCGTGCATACATGGACAGATCTACGTTTAAAACGCAGTATATGTCGTATTTATTACTCAATTGTGATGACACTCAGTCTACAGACCCAAGGAAGATAAGAACGGAATGCGAAGATTTGACACCGCATAAGAATTTATAAATCAAATTAGAGCGAATTCGGTTAAAAAACATACCCAACGTCCGCAAAATACGCAATAATATGTCTACCATAATATATGGGCTACCTGGAATATTTGGGCTGATATTAATAATTTTAGGAGCTTTGAATCCGAAATTCCACTTACAGCAAATTCTTTTGAAAAACGTTTCTAGAACCCCCAAAAACCCGAATAAATGGGGAGTAGCGTTATATGGGCGCTACCATGAAACGTGGACCAATATTGATCAATTTAGGCGGGAAATCGTGATAGCCAATGAGAATCAAACGTAGCAAATTACTGCCGATTCGCTTGAAAAACGTGTCAAAAATTCCATTACCAAATATTTTGGTTATAAAAAACTTAGATCGATATACCCTATTAGCATGCCAGTGCAAAATTTCAAAGCTCTATCTCAAATATTGCGATCTCTACGTGATTTCATCAGACAAATAGATAGATGGACTCGCATAAATCGACATTTTATTCTGATCAACAACGTTATGCAAACGGAATATCTGAGATTATATTGTGATTAATATTAGGTTAGGTAAAAATAAATCCATTTTTTTATATGAACTATAGGACTTTATTTAACATGCTTCGGAATGACCTAATATGCACCGTTTTGTTGTATGATATGCTGCCATTTTAAAGGTAACTTCATAATGCCTCTCTCATAGGAGTCCTGCTCTCTATTTGTAATAAACTCTAGTAGTCGATTTCCCCAATCCTCCCTAGATACCAATTTTGTATCATTAAAGAAATTTTGAAATGCAAAAAAATATGATAATCGCTTGGTGCCAAGTCCGGACTATATGGCGGACGCATTAAAACTTCCCAACAAAGCATCTGAAGGTTCTGGAGAGTTACTATAGATGTATGTCCTAGCGTTGTTCTGGTGGAACATTGGTCATTTTTGGTCAATTGCTGTCTTCAAACGGTCGAGTTGAGATCAGAATTTAGCGTTTGGCTATATGGAAGCAACTCATAATAAATAAACCCCTTCCAGTCCCACCAAATGTATAGCAGAACCTTCCTGGCCGTTAGTCCTGGTTTGACCACCGTTTAATCTATATCTTTCCGTATGGCCAAGGCTTCGCAGATGGAAATTCGATTCATTCTATTTTTTCCTGTTAATTGGTGTGGCACCCAAACATCGAGCATCTTTGTAATGTTACGACTGCTAACATGCCAGTCAACTTCGATAATTTCTTCGACTATGTATATATCAAATACCCTGTCAATTAAAATCTCTGATCTACGCTTTTTGTGTTCCTTGTAAAAAACCTGGTACGGGCTTGCTAATTTTTATGCCTAGATAATTTATCATCATAGTCATCCAAATTGATAGCAAATTCCGCATTAAACTAAAATGGGAAAATTTATACAACAAACAATAGCATTTTCCATAAATAAGCAATTACAACAAAAAACTAAAATAATACTACAAAGCAATTCATTCATTGAGAGCAATACGGAATGTAACGGTTGCAAAAACAACAACAGCAGCATACAAAACCTATCAGTCTCGCGCATTCAAAGTTCGCACAAAAACAAATTATATGGCCAAAAAGACCAAAACAAGTTTAAATCTAAAAACAAAACAAAGGGGCCAAAGCCCGTATAAAAACCATGAATGCAACTCAGACAGGTGAATAGAATACGCAAGTCTGGCATCAAGTGCAGTTCGACAAAAGGTGTTAGCGGGAACGGAACGAACAAATAAGCGAACAAAACATAACGAAAAAAGAAAATAATTGAAATAAAAAACGAACGTTTCGAATAGCCTCTGAGAACAAAAACAAAAAGTAGTGATTGCAGACTGACTAATAAACCAACCTGCAGGGTATAATTGGCTGCATCAATTTAAGAAGTTTAAACGTACAATTTAAAATAAACCAACAACAACAATAACATTGTGGATATTTTAAGAACATAAATAAAATTAAAACGGATATAAATTCATTATCAAAGCTAAGCGATCGGCGAAGTGAACTAAAGTGAACGGAATTTTAAAAACAATCTCGAAAGAATGAAATTATTCTTAATCATTGTAATAACACTTTGCCTAACATCCAGAAAATATTGTAAGTCCCCCGATTATTATTCAGAGTGGAAAGCCCAAACGGAATTGTAAAATTATTTTCCCCTTGTTACTTTTAGTCATCTTTGCCCAACAACAGGATGTGAATGAATTTGAATTAACTTCCGATTATGAATATAACGACTATGACGGTGACGACGATGCCAATCGAAATCTCAGTGAATTGCGAACAAGAGATATGGACGATAGATTTCTTTACGATGAAAATAGCGATGATAATTTTATGGAATGGAATAAATGTGATAATTATCTAAGTCAACCGAGGGGTACGAAGAAATATTTGGATACAACATTTTTAAAGAAATTCTTTCGCAATCTTGTGCCATATGCCGCACCGAAATTACAAATGAATTTCTATTTATTTAAACGTGGATTTCCCGATTGTGGTCGTGAAATAAGTCTCTATGATGATTCGATATATACATGTGGACTAAATGCATCACATCCAACAAGGTAAGTATTTTGAACCACTCACGCACAAACATACTATTTTTACTATACATTTATATGTGAATATGGAAAACCTAGTAATAACAAGTGAAAAACGTGTTCTGCCAGGGCATCTCGTAATAGACATTTAGATGTAAATTTGTCCTAAAAAATTAGAATACCGAAGATTGGGGGTACCAATATATATGAGCGCTATATATACACATTAAACAAAATTTAAAACAAGTAAAACTTCGATAGTTCGCCGGGCCGAACTTTTTATTGTGTTATGTGATAGTTGGTTTTTCATGCTCCACAACTAGTGCTCCAAATTACAGATACTTTAAGGGACCCCCCCCCCATTCACGATTTTTTATTTTTAAGATTTTAAATGGGCTGGTAAATGAATACCAATGCTTGTTAAGGTTTGTAACTTGGCACATATATATTTGAAGATTTAAAAAGGAAGAAAAATAATTTACCAAAATTTGTTGTTGTTGTTTTGTTGTTGTTTTTTGGGTTCAAAGAAAAGTCCATTTTTTCGATGGCGGGCATGATAACTCCTCACTGGAACATCGGAATCCGAAAATTCCAACTGTGTTAGAAAGAGGACATGTCTGGCTCTCGTATGAACTAGGATTATTAGCTTCGCACAACAATTAACAAAATGGCGGAACTTTGAAAATTTTTTTATGGAAAATCGCCTATTTTTTACCACAAACTAAGTTAAAAAATAAGGAAGATCTTCACCGATTGGCTTTATCCTAGTTCATACGAGAGCTACGCACTCTCAGAGAAACGTGTCAAAATTTGAAACCGATTGGATTATTAGTTTTTGAGTTATCGTGCCCGCTATTCGTTTTGAGAAAAACGCGTTTAAAGTTTGAGAAGCCCTTTAGCCGTTACTTGATGCTGACACAATAAATCGGCTATATCTTCAAGAGTTCTTGAGATTTTCACTTGAAATTTTGTAGGAACATTCTAGAAGTAGAGTAGATTCGAATTAAATCAAAAAAATTTGACACCGAGAATGGGGGGGTCCCCTTAAATGGATAACTTAAATTGGAATTTTTAAAAAAAATTATAAATACCGAAAAAAGCGGGACTTTTAGCAGAAACTTCAATATAAGTTATACCAAATTACAACCCCATCAGTTGGAAAATGCGGCTAAAGTCCTCAAAATACGGAAAATAAGATGGTACCGTTTTATGCGAGCTATACGAAACCGTAAACTGACATTTATAACATTTGTTAGTACTATTAGACACTCAATTCAGTGAAAAATATGCCCAAACCCCCCAAAATACAGAATAATGGGTCTGTCAATATATGGGAAATTTTAGCCGATATTAACATTTCAGGTGTGCGAAAATTAAACTTATTGAAAATCCAAATTATAAAATTACAGCTACTTTGGTTGAAACGCGTAATCAAACTCCGCAAAAAGCCGATAATAGGGGTGTAGCGTTATATGGGGCTTTCCTAAAAGGTGAAAAGGTGATTGTGGTCGTGAAATAAGTCTCTATGATGATTCGATATATACTTGTGGACTAAATGCATTACATCCAACAAGGTAGGTAGTTTGAATTTTTAGCAGGTTGATCTGATAGCCACAGTAAATCCAAAATACAAAATTATAGCTGATTCTGTTGAAAACGCGTCTAAACCCACCAAAAAACCGAATAATGGGGGTACCGGTATATGGGGGCTATTCTAGAAAGTGGACCAATATTAATCATATCTGATAAAGAATATATATACTTTATGAGGTCCTCCGTGAATATTTCGTCTTGCAAACGGAATGCAAAATGTTTTTAAGTTAAGGGAACCCAACTTAATATATTAATTTCAGTACGTTTTGCCAATCGGCATAGCTATGGTCTTTACACCATTTACTTAAAATCGGACGAAAGTATATATAGGAGCCATATGTAAATCTGAACCAATTTCAAGAAAACTTGACACACGAAAGGTTATAGTATCTGCAGTACATTGTACAAAATTGTGTGCGGGTCGGCCACTCTTTGGGCATTTAGTGCACAATTTACATTAAATCGGACGAAAATATATATTGGAGCTATATCTAAATCTGAACTGATATTCACGAAATTTAGCACACATCATTCTGGACCAAATTCAGTACCCTATGCCAAATTTCGTGCAATTTGAAGGACATATAAGGACATTGGAGATCCATTTACCTTAAATCGGCGAAAATATATATGGGAGCTATATATAAATCTGAACCGATTTTGTCGAAACTTGGCAGGCATTATTCTAGACCTTATTCTGTACTCCATGCCAAATTTCGTGCAAATCGAATGATATCTAGGGACTTTGGTGCACCATTTACCTTAAATCGGACGAAACTATATATGGGAGCTATACTAAATCTGAACCGATTTTCTCGAAACTTCGCACACATCATTCTGGACCTAGTTCAGTACTCTATGTCAAATTTCATGCAAATCAAATGATATCTAGGGACTTTGGTGCACCATTTACCTTAAATCGGGCGAAACCATATATGGGAGCTATATCTAAATCTGAACCGACTTTCTCGAAACTTGGCACACATCATTATGGACCTAATTCAGTACTCCATGCCAAATTTCGTGCAAATCAAATGATATCTAGGGACTTTGGTGCACCATTTACCTTAAATCGGGTGAAACCATATATGGGAGCTATATCTAAATCTGAACCGATTTTCTCGAAACTTGGCACACATCATTATGGACCTAATTCAGTACTCCATGCCAAATTTCGTGCAAATCGAATGATATCTAGGGACTTTGGTGCACCATTTACCTTAAATCGGACGAAACTATATATGGGAGCTATATCTAAATCTGAACTGATTTTCTCGAAACTTGGCACATATCATTCTGGACCTAATTCAGTACTCTATGCCAAATTTCATGCAAATCGAAAGGTATATAGGAACATTGGTGCACCATTTACATAGAATCGGAAAAAACTATATATGGATGCTATATCTAAATCTGAACCGATTTCCACGAAACTTTGCACACATCATTCTGGACCTAATTCAGTACTCTCTGCCAAATTTCATGCAAATCGAAAGATATATAGGGACTTTGGTGCACCATTTACCTTAAAAAGGACGAAACTATATATGGGAGCTATATCTAAATCTGAACCGATTTTCTCGAAACTTGGCACACATCATTATGGATCTAATTGAGTACTCTGTACTAAATTTCGAGCAAATCGAATGAAATATAGGGGCTTTGGTGTACCATTAACCTTAAATCGGACGAAACCATATATGGGAGCTATATCTAAATCTGAACCGATTTTCTCCAAACTTGGCACACATCATTCCGGACCTAATTCAGTACTCTATGCAAAATTTCGTGCAAATCGAATGATATATAGGGACTTTGGTCTATAATTTACCTTAAATCGGACGAAACTATATATATGAGCTATATCTAAATCTGAACCGATTTGCTTGAAACTTGGCACCCATTATTCTGCACCTAATTCAGTACTCTATGCCAAATTTCATGCAAATCGAAGGATATAGAAGGACTTTGCTGCCCCATTCACCTTAAATCGGACGAACCTATATATGGGAGCTATATCTAAATCTGGACCGATTTTTATGAATTTTTACACACATCATTCTAGACCTAATTCATTACGCTGTGCCAAATTTCGTGCAAATCGAAAGATATATAGGGACCGTTTACATTAAATCGGTTAAATATATATATGGGAGCTATATCTAAATCTGAACCGATTTTTTCCAATTTCAATAGGGTTCGATCCAATTTCAATAGGGCTCGTCCTTGGGCCAAATAAGTGACTTGTGCCAAATTTCATCCAAATCGGATCATAAATGCGACCTGTACTTTGTTTACAATTTAACATCTACAGACGGACGGACGGACATGCATAAATCGACTCAGAAAGTGATTCTATGCATATTCTCAAAAGGAACCATGTGTCTATCTCGTTTCCTTTTGCCTGTTACAAACATATGCACAAAGACATAATACCCTGTACCACAGTGTGGTGAAGGGTGTAAAAATATTTTGAAATATTTTCAGTCATCAGCAAAAATTGCCGATTCCGTAGCCCTGGGTTTCAATTCCATTGCATAGACCCAAAAAATAGTATAATTCCAAGGGTATATTTTTTTGAAATAACTCATAAATAATTTATTTTCCCTTTTATTTGCAGAATCATAATTCACGGTTGGATGAGTCACTCTCGCGGATCCTTTAACTTAGACGTTAAAAATGCCTACCTGAAACGTGGCGATTATAATGTCATTGTTGCCGATTGGAGTACAAATGCTGCCAATATCAATTATTTTCGTGTTGTGAAATTAATCGAAATATTTGGAAGTCACTTGGCAAGATTCACCCGCCATCTCTATGAAAAAGGACGCGTAAACTACAATGACATTTATCTAATCGGACATTCGTTGGGAGCACAAATTGCCGGAGCGGCAGGTAAACAAAGTTGGCCCAATCGCTATAACACCATATTTGCCTTAGATCCTGCTGGACCCAAGTTCCGTAGACGCAGCACAGAATTTCGTATTGATCCCACAGATGCAAAGTACGTTGAGAGTATTCAAACCAGCGGAAATTTAGGTTTTATGGAACCGACGGGAAACGCAACCTTCTATCCAAATTATGGTAAATATCAGCGAAAATGTTTCTATGTTGGATGTTCTCATATTCGTGCCTATCGTATGTTTGCCGAATCGATAACATCGCCAGCTGGTTTTTGGGGTATACGTTGTCGCAGCCGCAGCCCCAAATGGGATTGTGATAGTATGTCGGCTCGTGAATATCGTATGGGTGGTGAACCATCGCAGCCGAAAAGTGGTATATTTTATGTAAAAACACGTTCGAAAGCTCCATATGCTTTAGGGAAGATATCCATGGAGGACATGAATTAATAGAAGATGTGTGTGATTATTTTATCACTTTTGAAAATTTGCAAAGACTGATATTATAGGTATTGCATTAAATTTTGTATGTTTATAGTCATGTGTCAATTAATTATTTATATAGATACTTATTTTTTGTAATAAATTGTAACATTTTGGAATTATTTCAAATGCCATGTTTCGATATTGTCTTCTCCTTGATCTTTCCATCGGATTCGTGGCCTTACCCTTCTGTGTGAACCATCATTTGGCTCGCTTTTATATGTCTAATCACCGATATTCACCGTCGACGCAGATCTGCCCACAGATCTTCCGAAGAATGTTTCTCTCAAACACCACAAGAGCTGCCTTAGCTGCTTGTGTAGGTATCCATGCCTGTAGAGCGTGGGTTTGGTCTGGCGGAAGGTGGTCTTGTTTCTAAACTGCTTACTTAGACAATAGTAGGATCTTTTGGTCATCACAATCCTTCTCCAAATTTCAAAACTGATGTCATAATTTTATTTATGGCGGTACCAAGGTATATAAAATCTTTGAATACCTCGAAGCTGTAGTTCTCAAGTTCCACAGTTGGCCCGAGTCTACTGGACGTCTTGCGCGTTGATACCATCAGTTTGGTCTTCTACGTTTACTTCCAGACCCTCTTTGGCAGACTCCTTATCAATTTGTTCATAGGTAGCTGATACCACTCTCAATGTTCGACCCATTATGTCGATGTCATCGGCGTAGGCGAGTAACATGTGTTGTTTGGTGTACCGAGTGCTATTTCTGTTCACCTTTGCCTCACGTAAAACCTTTTCCAACAGGATGTTAAAAAAATCACACGACAAACTGTCACCTTGTCTGAATCCTCGTCCGGTATTTGGAGAGGTCTTTCCCAACTTTAACTGCTGATTTTGTGCGGATTAAAGTTATCCTGCATATCCGTATTAATTATACCCTTCACCACACTGTGGTATAGGGTATAATGTCTTTGTGCATATGTTTGTAACAGGCAAAAGGAATCGAAATAGACCCATGGTTCCTTTTGAGAATATGCATCGAATCACTTTTTGAGTCGATTTACGCATGTCCGTCCGTCGGTCCGTCCGTCCATGTATTTTTGTGAACAAAGTACAGGTCGCATTTATTATCCGATTTGGATGAAATTTGGCACAGCTCACTTATTTCACACAAGGACGAACCCTATTGAAATTGAGAAAAATCGGTTCAGATTTAGATATAGCTCCCGTATATTGTTTCGTCCGATTTAAGGTAAATGGGGCACAAAAGTCCTTATATATCTCTCGATTTGTACGAACTGAATTGAGTCTAGAACGATGTGTGCCAAATTTCGAGAAAATCGGGTCAGATTTATATATAGCTCCCATATATATTTTCGTCCGATTTAAGGTAAACGGGGCACCAAAGTTCCTATATATCTTGCGATATGCACGAAATTTGGCATAGGGTACTGAATTAAGTCCAGAATGATGTGTACTAAGTTTCGTGAAAATCGGTTCTGATTTAAATATAGCTCCCATATATAGTTTTCTCCGATTTTATGTAAATGGTGCACCAAAGTCCCTATATATCTTTCGATTTGCACGAATTTTGGCATAGCGTATTGAATTAAGTCTAGTCGGATACATATAGTCGGCCCAGTCAGACTTTACTACTTTCCTCACTGGTTTTGCTGGAATGCCGAACGCAACATGGCTTTAAACACCTCTGAACGGATATGGCTGTCAAATGCGGCTTTATAGTCGACGAATAGATGAAATGTGTCGATGTATTTTTGTGGGTTTTTTTAAGGATTGGCGCAGAGTGAAAATCTGGTCAATGGTGGATTTGACAGGTCTGAAGCCGCATCGGCATGGTCTAATAATGTCATTGACCATTGGCTTCAATCGTTCACACAGCACACTGGGTAGCACTTTATATGTGATGGGAAGGAGACTTATTCCACACATTTTGTCTTGTCGCCTTTTTTGTGCTCGGGGCACAGGATGCTGATGTTGCAATCATTGGGCAAATTGTACTAATCACCATGCTCCTGACCAGCATCTGACCACCAGTCTTAAATTGTTCGGCTGGTAACCCATTGGCACCTGCTGCTTTATTATTCTTCAGCCGATTGTTTGCTATTCTGACCTTATCTTGGCTAGGTGGTATAGAATGTATACCGTCATCTCTCATTGGTTCTGGGGTATCTTCTTCATCATTATTATTTGATACTAGAAGCTTTTTAATATCCTGCTTCCAGATACACAACACGCTGTCTGTATATGTCACCAGGTTTCCTTCTTTATATCTACAGGTGGCTGCACCAAAGCCTTCGGTTTGGTGTTTTACTCGTTGGTAAAATTTCCGGACTTCATTCTGAATCCTGTACATCTCGATTTGCTCACGCTCACGTTTTTCTTGTTCTTTCTTCTTTTTTCTGAAAATATGTTTCTCCTCTCCTTTTCTCCCGATAGTTCTCCATCACGTTACGTGTTGCTACTGTCTGTAGGGTTGACCTATACGCTGCGTTTTTCACATCAGTAGCATTACAACACTCCTGATCGTACCATGGGTTTCTTGGTGGTGGTTTTTGGTACCCAAATGTTGCTTTTGCTGCAGTTTGTAAGTAGTGGGCAATTCTTTGCCATTGTGCTTCTATACTTTTATCGGGACAAGAAGTGCTTTTGTCAAGCAGGTGGGTAAGTTGAGCGGAATAGGCCTCGGCTGCCTGTTGTGTTTGCAGCTTTTCAACGTCGAATTTCCGTGTTGTGTTAGATTGCCCCTTTGCTGCAACATTAAGACAAGTACGCACCTTGGCTGCTACAAGGTAGTGGTCCGAATCGGTATTCGCTCCTCGGATCGATCGAACGTCTAATACACTGGATGAATGCCTTCCGTCTATCACAACATAATCAATTTGATTTCTCGTTGCTTGATCAGGAGAAATCCAGGTGGCCTTGTGTATATCGAGATGCTTGAATCTGGTGTTGCTAACTACCATGTTTATTGCCGCGAAGTCAATCAACCTGATGACGTTGTCGGATGTCTCTTCATGAAGGCTGAATTTTTCGACGGTGGGGCCAAAGATATTTTCCCTTCCGATTTTTGCATTAAAATCTGCTAGCAGAATTTTAATGTCTTGGCCAGGGGTTATATGCAGTTTCTAGGCGCTCGTAAAAAATGTCTTTGGGCTGTTCATCTTTGTCTTCCGTCGGAGCATGGGCGCCAATAAGACTGACGTTGAAGAACTTCGCTTTTATGCGGATTATAGCAATTCATTAATCTACTGGAGTGAATCTGGAGACGAGGTCTTTTATTCTCCTGTTAACCATTAATCCACAGCACAATTCATGTCTCGTTTCATAGCAGCTATAATACAGTACGTAATCATCTGATTTACTTACGTCAGTGGCTTTCCATCGCATTTCCTGTAAGGCAATAATATCGGCTTTATACTTCTTGTACATCCAAAGCGAAAACTGCGCCTGTTGTGTACAACGTGCGCACACTCCAAGTGCAGATTCGCAGATAGTGGTCCTTTATACGTTATGCGGTGGTCGTCAACATTATGGTTTTCTTTTTCTTCGCTTTTTCATAATAGGGGGGTTTTTCCGAGTGTGGGCAACTAACCCGACGTCTTAACCCACTTGTATACCCTTCACCACACTGTGGTACAGGGTATTATACCTTTGTGCATATGTTTGTAACAGGTAAAAGGTATCGAGATAGACCCATGGTTTATTTTGAGAATATCCATAGAATCACTTTCTGTGTCGATTTTTGCATGTCCGTCCGCCTGTCCGTCCGTCTGTTGATGTTAAATTGTTAACAAAGTACAGGTCGCATTTATAATCCGAATCGAATGAAATTTGGCACAGCTCATTCATTTGGCCCAAGGATGAACCCTATTGGAAAAAATCGGTTCAGATTTTGATATAGCTCCCATATATAGTTTCTTCCGATTTGAGGCATAGCGTACTGAATTAAGTCTAGAACGATGTGCGTTAAATTTCGTGAAAGTCGATTTAGATTTAGATATAGCTCCCATATATATTTTCGTCCGATTTTAGGTAAATAGTGCACCAAAGTCCCTATATATCCTTCGATATGCACGAAATTTGGATTTATAAGTAAATGAAGAACTAAAAATGTGGCCGATTGCACAAAACATACTGAAATAAGTGTAACCTAACATTTGACAAGTTTCGATGAAATCGGTTTAGATTTCGATATTTTGCTTTAAATTGATTTACATATCTGGCTAAAATTTAATTTCATGTTAATGGTCCTTCAAAAATGCTGTTCTGTTAGGATTCCATCTGTTGAATATACCCAAAGTGGTGAAGGGTGTAATATAGTCGGCCCCGTCAGACTTTACTACTTTCCTTACTGATTTTTTAACTTGGTTTTTGGTCAAAAATCGGCGATTTTCATAAAATATTTTTTTAATGGTCCGCCTGTTACAAACATATGCACAAAGACATAATACCCTGTACCACAGTGTGGTGAAGGGTATAAAAAGTGAAAAGTGCTGTATTCTTTTTCGGTTTTAGCGGATAATTCCGGAAAGGAGAAGCTGTCACTATGTATTAGTTTTTTCGACGAAGTATCTATAATAAACGTAATAAACAAAGTCATAATAAACACAATAATCAGGTTGAGTTTGAATGCAATATTTTTGAGAGGTAAAGGATATGACGTAGCTTCTAACATGCGCTCCCCATTATTCGATATATGAGGTACGTGATTAAAGCGAATTTGCTCTAATTTGATATTTGGGATTATTAAATCAAATTTCACTTCTGCACAATCATTGTTACTATACCATTTTAAATTTAAGTTTTTTGAAAATCTCCGAAAACTTCCGCCACTTTATTTAGAGTATTTCAAGAGGCAAATCAAACTTTCAAAAGACTTCAATCATATTGAGTACAAAAGTATTTAACGAATCTATAGAAGAAGAAATAGAGGAGAAGAGGATCTGTGAATCACGATGTGGACAACTTAAGTACCATCTAATCCCCTTGATGCAATTGTAGTATGTGACGAAAATCTTTTTCCAAATATCAATATTATTTATATTTATATTATTTATCTATTTTAAAAATAAAACTTTGTTTATACCAATAAAAACAAATCACACTGAATTCCCCAAATGAGTAAATACTCTCTTAATTCAAAACATTTTTTGTACATCATAAATTATTCGCTAATTAGATGCTAACTAAAATAAACCATACTCAAATTAAACTTTTATTGATATACGAATGTGAAAACCACATTGATTATTTGTGACCATATTTATAACAAAAACATGTTGCCAAACTCCCAGATTGTCATTCAAAATTCCAAAAAAAAATTGTCTCTGGTTGCGGAATTGTTTTACAAACCACACGTCAGCGGTTAATGTGAGCCGCAAATAAATTTATTTGACGGTTCTATTTCAATAGTACAATCATTTTTGTAATATGTACAGACGAGGGAAATTGAATATTGAAGTCTAACTATGGCTTAGCAACACAAAAACAGTCAATCTCGAATATTTGAATTATTTATTAAATTATGAAAATGTGTTCATCCTGGTGTGAGTATTCATAATTGAAAA